TCACCAACTCCTATAAAGATTCCAGAACCGGACTGACAAGTAGAGCATGAGGTGGAAATAACCTTGTCTTAGGTCAGACTCAACGATGTGAGCTGTGCACTAACCCTGGCCTTGTTTTCTGTCAACCTCACATTAATTTTTGTTGAACTTGCAAGTTAACCTAGACCTGCGGAACTTTGCCAAATTAACTGAATCTCTTTCTACCTCTCCTCCCCATATGCAAAGTGGTTACAAGTTGGTCACTTGGATTTAAGACTTCTTGCAATTCATTTTGATTGTTTTGCTTACATTTTAGCTCTGGATTCTGCCCCCAGCCATGTACCAGCCTTTTCAGCTTCGGTCACCCTCAGATGTGCCACACACCTTCTGGGTCTTCATTTTAAACAGTCTACTCCAATGATAATAAATAGTTTAATATTCTACTGAGTAAGGGTATTTGAATATGGAGTTGAATTTATGTATGCTATGCCATAATCAGGTTCACTACATTACCTTGATTCACAATTGCCTGGTTTTCTTCACACAATATTGTTTTTAAGGAGAAAATAGAAAAATATAGCGGCAAATATTGTCCAGAATTAAAAGCCATATATACTTTGTGATTTTCTTGCAACTTTTCAGTGACCTCTGAATTAATTTTTTTAGCTTATTGGTATGTGTGTGTATACATATATATTAATTGCATTTGAAAATGCTGCTCAAAATGTATTTATGAAGAATAGCTTCAGAGGTCCTGAATCTGTATCAGTCAGCCTGTATAGATTTCCTTGGAACCATTATTTTCATGAATGCCCCCACAATCCCTATGATTATCACTACCTAGTGACAGCGTAATGAGTGAGAAGGAAAGAGCCCAGACCTGGGTGCTAAGGAATTCCATTATTTAATGAAAGGTTAGGGGAGAGCTAGTGTGTCAAAAGCCAAGTGATTGTGGTATTTCTGGGAGGAGACACAGCTTGACCAGCACCACCTAAAGCTGCAGAGAGCTTAAGGAAAGGGAGAACTGCAAAATGTCCACTGGATTTAACATTGTGAAGATGCAGAACTGACTTGACCAACAGCTGAGTCTATGGAGTAATGGGCACAGAAGTTTTGCTTTCAAGGGAAAGTGATAAAGGTTTGATTTGAAGAAGAAACAAGCAACAGGGAGGAGAAGGTAGAATCAGGCGTTTTATTTTTTGTTTATTTGTATTTTGTTTTGTTTTTGCTGTTTTTAATTGGAAGAGACTTCAGGAAAGAAAGCTTAATATCCAGGAGAAAGGGAATTATCAGTTGAGCAAGGTCTCTGTAGAGGTAGGAGGGACGAGACCTAAGCCATAGGAGGAGAGTTTATCCTTCTATAGAGAGCCATGTCTTTTGTTATGATAGGAAGAAAAAAGAAAAGGGCTTTTTTTTTAGGTTTGGTGTTTTAGATTTGGGTAAATTGAGAGAGTTCCCATCTGATGTCTTCTCTTTTCTCTGTAATAGGAAACAAGATCATCTGCTTAGACTAAAGAGGGTATTAAGTTAGGGGTGTGTGGGAAAAATAAATTATTTTGGAATATGGATGAGAAGTATGACCTGTCCCCTGGGGTTTTTAGCAGGGCCTGAGAATTAAACTGACATGAGATAGATTAAAGAACACACATTCAGTATAAGTTCTGCATGACACAGGAGTTCCCATAAGAAAATAAAGACCCAAAGAAGTGGCAAAACCAAATGTTTTTAATACTAAGTTGAACAAAGAGAGGCAATTGTGGAAAAGGAACTAAAGGAAGATAAGAATTATTTTAACGAGGTCTGTTTGTACAGAATTCTCAGCCTTGACTGCCTATCTAAGAATGTTTGTTTTCTCTTGGTACTGGAAAGGCATCTTTCACATGAGAATTTTTTCTCCTGTTTTGGGGAAGAAAGGGAGTGAGCACATGACTCTTTTTGCATCTGTTGTTTTTCAAGTGCCTTTAGCTCCTTATGCCAAAGTGGCATATTTTGGGGTGGCAGATTCTGTCGTCCTTCACCTGTAAAATGTAGTAGAAATGCTGGACAATATTGGGGGGGTCAATGTGAAGTTAACTACCATGAATTTGTGGTGAAACCAAACATCCTGTGTGACTTTCTGCAGCAGTTCACAGCTTCATGGACCATAGGAAACAAGGCCCTGGCTGCATTCATCCAGGGCTATGGTTTTACAGACAGGTGGAAAGACAGACGAGGGCTTAGGGCTCTTTCAGGAACAATATTGAAGTGAAGGACCTGACGTCCGCATTGGACAATAAAGAAAAGTGAGGGCTGACTGGTAAAAGGAGAGGCAGCCTCCTGGAGATCTTGATGGTACTGAAGAATAGTCATAGGATAACTAATTGAAAAGAAATGTAGTTTATGATCAAAGAGAAGAATGTTTCAATTAAATATTTTGGAAACCGATCAGACAGGGGTAGTGGCAAGGTACAAGTTACAACAGTAGGAGGGAGAGACTGAGGTGGGAGGGAAGAGAAGGGCAGTGGACACAGGGATGCGGTTGCTGGATGGCTCTGCTCTGAAGACACTGAAATTCCCTGAGATGATCACAGTACTTTGAGTTGAGGAGAAAACTGTATGCTTAATGACCAAATCCTTAATGAATGATAGGGAGTTATCAGCAGGTCAGGAGACAGCGTCACTGAGGCAGATGAGGGAAGTGATAGTCTGACAATGGTAAAACGGACAGCAAGAAAGGCAGGTGGGGCATATAAGAACAGAAGTCAACACTGAAGAATAGAGAAGTGATATCTTCAGGGACAATGATGTTTGAGTTAAAGCAAGGAGAGCACTATTAGCACATAAAGATATCATGAAATTTGCTGATTATGGTCCAGTCATCCCGAAAGACACACTAGGAGGTTGGGAGAGTGGAAGAGAAATGAAGAGCTGGGTCAGTTGCCAGGAAGTACATTGCATCATGGAGGTGATGTTCTGTCAGAGACAGCAGAGAGGATGTGAGGTTTAGGCTTTGGGATTTCCAGACAAAATCAGGTAAGTTTAGTGTCAACTCCCCAAGGAGAATGGGCACAGAGGCCAGGTGGCCAGAGGGCACAGCTCACTCTGCCTGGAGGGAAATCTCCCAAGAGCTGCATTCGAAGTTTACGTGACCACCAGTGATTTACCACAGCATTCTGAGATTACCTTCAAACCAAGGAGTTATGTATTCATCTATTTTGAAAAATGGGCAAACTGAGGCTAAGCAAGAGTCAGAGACTTCTCTGAGGATAAAAACTTTTATTTCATTATCGGAATAAGGACTAGAATTCAGGTACCCTGATTCATAGTACTGTTTTCTCCCCCCAGTTTATCTTAAGAAAGTAGAAGAGGTTTATCTCATTTGTCTACCTACAAGAACAGATTTTGCTTATAGTCCTATTAAATACCTAAGAAATTAGGCTGAACTTTAATAAGTGACCATTTTTTTGCTGGAAAAAAACCCCGGTATTATGCTGAATCAAATAACTCTACAATACTGAATGAAGATTGTTTAACCTTGTTTCTGTTGTTTGGTAAAACCCTTCCTTAAAACTATCCCTACTGTCTAACGCAGTTACTTCTTTATTCTTGAACAGAAGTTAGTGATACATGAATAGGCATGTCTTGATTTAAGAAAACTTGGTGTTTGATTGGAAACACATAAAACATAGGATTAATTACTGGATAAGATCAACATTTCATAAAAAGTTTCTTGCTATAAATAAACCCACTTTAATCATTAATGTATAATGTGATTTTATTTATTCATTCAGTCATTTAGTCATTTAGCACATTAACACATTTAACAAATAAATCACATTAAATGTGATTTTATTTATTCAGTCAGTCATTTAACACTTTTATTTATTAAGGGCCTCCTATTTACCAGAAAATACAGTGGTGAACAGAACACACCACATTTCTGCTCTTGAAGCCCACATAATAAATCATCCAATGAATGAATGAGTAACCAGCCAAACAAGGAAGCAAAAAAGGAGTGCTTTGCAGAGAATTAAAACTGTCTGATGTGAGGTAGAATGGCCAAGAGACTATCGTTTAAGCTGAGGTTTTTGACAAAGTCAGGATTTTGTATTTCATCTTTTAAGAAACATCCAATATGCTATTTTTCACGTCTAAAGCTTTCTGTAGCCTAAATATTTTGGAAACTTAAAGAGGTTCATAGTTAGCTTCAGTGGTTCCTTTGAATCCATAGAATATGTCTCTTTTTCTAAAGTTTGATTAACTACTAGAGATAGGGGAAATGCTATCAACTGGCAGAATATTCTCAGAGTAAAGCCTTATGAGGTTTGTTGACCTGAATGTTTTCAGAAAGCCTGAGTTTTCTTCTGCTTCTGGGTGTCAGTAGAATAAGAGAAGTCCACATTGCTTCTGTCTCCTTACGTTTACCCATGACCGATGATGATTTCCTTATAGGAAGAGGTGTAATCGGAACGCATGCTTGTCATATAACTGAAAGCTATTGAAATGGCTCACTTGCTAGCTTCCCTTGGATTGTTGAGGGAAGTAACAACTGAGAAAATAGCCTAAGATTATTCATATATTCTTCATATTTTTCAAGGACCTACATAATCCTTTTCAAATAACCTTCTAAATAACCTGTTTCTAACCACTGTAATTTGCTGTTACAAATTGTGCTTTCACTGGTGACTTATCTAGACGATTCCTGAAACTTGAGTAGTTCTTATATTAAAATATTCTGGGTTTCATAGCTTGCTACAAATGCAACTTTTACTTACTGTAATTTTATGCTCATGACTAAATTAGAGCCTGATTTCCTGAATTCACAATATCCTTACAGATCTCTAGTGTAAAATGATATATGCATAAGTTTGTGTAAGATAAGGAGGATTCTATTAGAATGATTCTAGTGAGGAGAGGTTATATGATAGGAGGAAAACAACTTTTACAAATTTTTATTTATATTTCCCTACATAAGCTTATGATTGATTAGCTAGCTATATGTGTCTGATAGTGATGTAAATGTCACATATTTATGCCCTTTCAAAACTTTTTATCCTGTAGCATGTTTTTGGCTCAGAGGAGACTCTGCATCCTTGGCAGCAGAGCCAAATTCCTGAAGACAATTTATTCTTCAAAAATCCTTGGACTCTCTACTTCTGCTGTGGGTATTACTTAATCCCTTACAGATACAATAATGTATGTATCCTGCAATGTAAAAAAATAAAGATGCAAGTTTTCAGGTACTTTATAAGTATTTTATTGAAATGAATATTTGTATTACATCATAAGCTGAGAGCATCTCTTTTGTCATTGGCTGGAATTCACATTCATGGAGCAACTGCTTGCCTGTCTATATATCAGGCATTTTTCTGATCATTGCATATTCATTATCTTATTTTCTCTTTACAAAACTCTTCAAGTTATGAATTGTTATACTCCTGTTTTACAAATGAGAAAATGGAGGTTTAGATAGGCTTGGTAACTTGCCCAAGGTCACACAGCTTGTCGGTGACATATCCAAAACTGGCATTCTACAGACAGGATCTGTCCACTCTGGATATTATAGTGACTATAAATGCAGGCTTCCTGACTCCCAGTTTATGGGAACATGGCAGATTAAAGAACAGATTATGTGGTATCATGGAAAAGCAAATAAATCCAGAATGTGAGTCATAACAACAGGCTTGGTAACTGACCCAGTTTCTTCAACAAGTCAGAGCACTGGGAAAAAAGTGGTTATTTCAGAGAGAGGCCTGAGAACCAGATACTTTGTGTGGACATTGTCTAAGAACTTGACCCAATCCACCAAAGTAAAAAGATATTTTTAAAGACAATCAGAGAAATATGAATGTGTTGGGTACTCAGTACTTGACCCAATCCACTGAAATAAAAGCACATTTTTAAAGATAGAGAAATATGAATGTAGGTTGGGTACTCGATGGTCCTGAGGAATTATTGTAAATTAGGCATGATAATGACATTGACATTGTAGAAAAAAATGTTGATAATTTTTAGAGCTATATGCCAAGTCTATAGGGGCGAAGTAACGTAAAGTCTAAGGTTTGCTTTAAAACTACTTAGCAAGAAAAACGTTTTTTAAAAGGTAAAGGAGGAAAGGAGCAGTAAATGAAGTAAAATCTTGTTGTGTATATAAGTGTCTTATATTAGGTGGAATCACATGAAATGGTCATTTTTGTAGGTCAAAAATAGATGAATGTTGGCAGTTTCATATTGTTCAACCCAATTCTAATCTCTCAACTTTTACATAGGTTTGAAACTTTCATAAAAACCCTCATCAACTTCTTCTTCTATGTGTAAATACTGTGATTTCTATATCATAAATGTCTTAAGTCCTCCCTCTCCTCTTTACGACCTCCACGACTATCTCAGTTCAGGCCTTCCTCCGTGTGGTGAGGTCGGTCGAAGCCGAAGAAGTCGGTGTGGCCGCCAGAGAGGTCAGATAGCACTATGGTCCTCAGCTAAGGGTGATCGGGTGCTGAATCATCCTCTGCAGAGGTGTGCTGCAGTGCACAGATCAAGAAGCATCCTGAGAGAATCTGATTCTCTAAGGCCAAAATATATTTTGAAAAATCTTTCTGATTCTGTTGCATATCCCAGGTAAGAATGACCGACAGTGCACTATTCAACCTTGCAGATTATCTGTGATAGAATTCAACCCTTTCCATCATTAACAACCGCATCAGAAAAGTCTCTACAGTTCACCAGTCTTTGCAGTTAACATAGCCACACAGATAAATAAGTATTCTTCCTGCTCTTGGACAAATGAAAAAAGTAGATTGATTAGTGTTGTCAAAAGTAGTAGTGACAAGTCCAAATCAAGAAAGATTCACCAGACGCAGTGAGGCTACTTGCCATCAGCCAGTGTGCACTAGAAAATCCTCATATACACCATCGTTATTATCATGGAAGTATAATTGGTAGCCCATTGGTTTTCTACTCTTCTTCCATTAATATTCTTTGCTTAGCCTCAAAATAGCCTTAAATGGGGCTTCTCAGGGAAGCTATTCTGAATGATAGTATAATGGTGGATACATGTCACACATTAGTCAGAACCCCAAGAATGGACTCTTAACGTAAACAATGGGCCCTGGGTGATTATGTCTCAGTGTTGGTTCATTGGTTGTAACAAATGTGCCACTTGCTCAACTGATGTTGGTGGGGAAGTTTGTGGGGGTGACAAGGGGGCTCTGTACTTGCTGCTCAATTTTGCTGTGAACCTAAAACTTTTTAAAAATAATTTTTTTTTGTAAAAAGAGACTTCTAAAATTTACATGCCCATCACATAAGCACAAAACCTTTATTTTAAAACAGCAACTGAGACAAAAAGTTTTCCTTCTCCTTAAATCTGTCCTTCCTGAAAGAAATCACAGCCCTCTTTTTTGATGTGAAAACATTGTTATACAGTTAGTCCATACCATAATTATCATCTCTTTACCCCCTTTTGTGTAAAGTTATTCATCCTATTTGTAGCTAAGAGAATCTCTTCCACTTTCTGATTGAGCACCAGTTTTTGAGTGTATTATGTGTACCAAAAAGTGCTTTTCCACTGTGGATTTAACTCACTTAATCTTCATAGAAATTGTATAGGGCAGACATTCCCTTTTCTTATTAACAAATGCGGAAACTGAGTTTCAGAGAAGGCCTACTGCCTACTGCCACACAACTAGAAGTTTTAATGTTTAATTTCCAAGTAAGATCTATCTAGCTTGAAAGCCTTTTGTATTAAACAAATTTTGGAGATTTTAATTTGAGAGCTTTGCAAACCAGTGAGTGACTGTGCACAGTCTTGTCCCAGACCTAGCTTTGCATCTCTTCCTCTTACAAGTGCCCAGCAGAAACTCCCTGTCTCTCAGCCTCAAATCCAAATTTCCAAGAGTTGTTGGTTTAGCCTGACTCTGTCCTTCCCTAATTCAATCAGATAAGTGTGAGGGTTTAGGGGAGGGATGGGATTATGTAATCTAGACGAGCAGAAGGGCTGTGAATGTAGGTGTGGGGAATAAACTCACACAAGAACTTTGCTGGAACCCAGTTTTCAAAGAAAATAAATCAGGCTTTTTTCCCTTGACCTGAGTCCATTTCCTGGTATTCCAGCTCTGTATTTTTACCTTTTCTGTCAATTCTCAGGTTTAGAGAAACCGTTGTTTCCAATAAGCTTGTTTCTCTAGAGGTATTGCTAAAAGATAATTTTCAGAAAAAGGCGAAGTCATGACTCATATAAATATAAAAATGAACGTATGTTAAAGATTTTTATTTTATTCATACGGTATGATAAAGCAGGTGACAACCAGTTGAAAGGAAAAGCTGAAAAGTACAAAGTTAAATATAATAAATTGAATTGCAAATGAAGGCAAAACCAGTTTTTCAATAAGGTGAAGGTCAGTCAAAACTCCTGAACCAGAGTTCGCATGCCTGTCAGTTACCTTCAATCTATAAAATGCAAAGTACCTCAGAGACCAGTTCCAGCCCTGCTAGAATCAGTCCTGCAAGGGTGTGTGGTAACCACTGCATAGTTTTCCATTTGAAGTACGAAATTTTTTCTCCAATCTATTATCTCTTAGGAGGGGATCCAAATTCCTAACCTTTCACTCACTTGTTTAGTCAGCAAATATCTAATAGCTACAATATATCAGCACAAGTAATTGTTAAAACAACTAATATATGTTGCTTAAAAGTTCCAGCTAAATCTGTGTGCCTTTCAGTTACAAAATGGATTTTTATGTAACTGGGTTTTCGCCATGAGTATCTGAAGTCAGCTGTCCCTACTTGGCATTTCCGCTTTGTTTTACTCAGTTCTTCTGCCATTCCAGGAGTATTCTGTCGTTTTCCTGTGCCACCTAGTGGCAAAAGAGTGTAATTAATCTGTTAGGCTTTTGGGGTTTGTTTTTTTTTAATGTGTCGTGTAGTGCTGCCTTGGAAAACATCTAACATTTGTGAGATAAAATCTGTTTGATTGAGGAGCAAAGAGAGAAAGAGGACATGATTTCAGAATACTGAAAGCTTTTGTTTTTTTAATTAACATTTTAAAAAATTAAGACTTTATTTATTTTTTTTTTGTATTTAAGTTCAGAGCAAACTTGAGCAAAAATGAGAGAATTCCCATATATCCCCAGCCCCCCACATGCATATCCTCGCCTATTATCAATATCTACCACCACAGGGTACATGTGTTGTACCCAATGAACCTACCTTGACATAATCATTGTCACCTTTAGTCTACATGAGGGTTCATCCTTAGTGTTGTATACCTATGGGTTTTGACAAATATATAATGACATGAATCCACCTATATATATATGTAGTACCATACAAAATAATTTCACTGTCCTAAAATTTGTCTTCTACCTGTTCATCCCTCCTTCCCCCACAAGCTCTGATCTCTTTACTGTATAAACCACTAATCTCTTTACCGTGTCCATGAGTCTGCCTTGGCCTTCATGGGGAATAAGGTTCCCCCATGTCATTTCTTTAATTGGTAGCTCATTTCTTTTTAGCACTGAATAATATTTCATTGTCTTTGTACCACAGTACATTTATCCACTCATGTACTGAGGGATTTCATGCACTGTTGCTTCTAAGTTGTAGCAGTTATGAATAAAGCTGCTATAAACATCCATGTACAAGATTTTATATGGGTCTAATTTCTCAACTTCTTTGGGTAATTATCAAAGAAACTGATTGCTGGATTGTATAGGAAGAGTATCCTTATTTTTTCTTAAAAATTACCTTGGCAGCTTTTTAAAATTAGCATTATCAAGTTAACAATAAATTGCATCCATTTAGTGCATAAAGCTCAATGGTTATTTAAAAATCTGTGTACCATGAAACCACTGCTTCAATCAACATACAGAACATTCTCATCACCCCTAAAAGATTCTTCATGCTCTTATGATGAGCACACATAATGTAGCAGGGGGCACAGGAAGGCAATATAGCACAGAGAAGACAAGTAGTGACTAGCATCTTACTATGCTGATGGACAGTGACTGTAATGGGGTGTGTGGTGGGGACTTGATAATGGGGGGAATCTAGTAACCACAATGTTGCTCATGTAATTGTATTTTAATGATACCAAAAAGAAAAAAAAAAGATTCTTCATGCTCCTTTGCAGTCTTTCTCTTGTTCATTTGCTCTTTATCTCTA